AGATAGCTCACTTGAGATGTTAGTAAGAATTGCCTCCTCAGTATTCTATAGCCAAGATGAGGAGGAGGCCAAGGAGAGAAAACAAAGAGACTGAGAAAATATGTCTCAGGTTCTATTATATACACTCTCCAATCTCTATAAGATTTCAAACTGAGATGATTCCATTCTGCACATGGGCATGCTGAGTATCTCAGAGGAAGAATTTGTTCAAGTCTTCATAGCTTCTATGTTGTAAAAAGAATTTGAGCTCAACTCTGATCCAGTCATTGCTCTATTTCTGCTATCCTCACTCAGTGCAATGTGCTCCTTGACTCTACTGCACTCATTCGAATATACATTAAAAGTAAATCACATGGTAGGTGTGATTAATAATTGTAACATATCAACTAGCAGAAAGGACAGTATTCCCCTGCAAAGTTGCTGATCGAAGTTCACAGCCTCCGTCCTTGGCAGATTTTTCCTTAGATCCTAACTAATAATTATTGTGGGGAAACTCCCACAATTCTCCAGAAACAATTTTTTTTTTGTGGGAGGTTTGCAAGTAGCCAATCCAACAGTGTTATTTGATTCTCCTTCTGTTGATTGGCTGCTTCTCTGTTACCCATGTCCAATGGATGCACCAGCTTCTGCATAATGATAGATTGGTGTACCTCCTATAGCTATCTCGAGTGTTAATTGATTTTGTTCTTCTTAAAGCCCTAAGATCCCTAAGATGTCATTGAAATGCTGTATACTTTCTAAGTTTTATTTATATAGTATTTTATTAAATTAAATTACATAACTTCAGGAGACATCGCATATTTAGGATTTAGACTATAAAAATAGGCATTTATAGGCATTTTTTTCTGGCCATACCTGAAATTCATGGATATTCACAATTTATGGATGTTGTAGGAATGTAGCTGCGAATTTTGGAGGTCTACTCTAATATGCCAACTTGGGTAAGAATGACTAGCAGATTAGTAAATTCTGGGTGTGTCTGTGGATGATTGACATGTAAGCCAGCAGAACAAGGAGAGACCCACACCCGCATGGAGGCACCAACCAATAGGCTTACACCTTGGACAGACTAAAAAGGGAAAGAAGGAAGTATTTTTTTCTTGGAAGAGCTCAAGGCTTCACGTTTGCCTTTGCACATTGGTTTCCTTTTTTCTTTTTTTTTTTTTTTTTTTTTTTTTTTTTTTTTTTTTTTTTTTTTTTTTGCCTTCCAATGCAGAGACTTCAGCCTTGCAATGCAGTCACACGAGTGACTCTATGGTGACTTTACATCCATTTGACCTTCAACTACTACTACTGGATCTTCCAGCTCTCCAGTACACTGGCAGCCATTTTCATTTCTCAGCCTGTTATCCCACAGTCACTGCCTCTGATTTTCTAAGCCTACCTAATAAATCCTTTTATATAATTATACATATATTTTGTATTGATTCTGTTCCTCTAGAGAAACCTAACTAATATACTAGGTAATTAAAAAGCTATAGTAGATAAATCTGGAAAAAATATAATGAACAAAAGAAGTAATACATATAATACTATATCAGGTGCAGAGACTTTAATATATAAACTTGGACTATATAAGAGTACATGATAATAGGAGCTCAAATAATTTCATAAAAATATAGAGTGACTAAAACTAACACAATAAATAATATCTCCATTAGGATGAAGCTTGGTTTCAAAGGGTGGAAATCCAAAATAACAAGGACGTATAGTCCAGATATTATAGGACTTCTGTGTTAGTTACTTTTCACTCATTGCTGAGAAAAAATACCCAATGTCCAAAATTAAGGAAGGAAAGGTTTATTTAGCTCACAGTTTGTGGAGGTTTCAGTCCATAGTCAGATGGCTCCAAGGCAGAGGGGTAACACTTCATGGCAGTGGAAGACAGCAAAAGCAACAAGAGCAAAATTAGAGCGAGCAAGACTCTTTTCCTCCTTTCTGTTGTAAGCAGGCTACTCATCCTAGGGTGGATATAGCATGCATACCATCTCCATGCCCTCCTCTTACACAGGCTCAGGATGTTTACAAAGTGAGGACTTTGGCCCCCTGCTGAGCCACTGAGTTAAACTTGTCAAGATTACACAATGAATACACCATTACAATATCCTTGAGTGTAAACAGCTGCCCCAGGACATGTCCTCTGCACCTTAGGATGCAGAACTGCTGAGTTACTTAATTAAGCTTCTAAACTTCTCAAATTGATACAATGTATCAACCATTACACTCCACCCTTTGTCAACTTGGCAACCAGACACATTTCTTTAAATTGGACTCCAGACACGAAGGCATCTTATTCTTATCATTTCACAACTTGAACATTGTAACATAGGTTTAACAATCCTTAAGAACCAGTATTAAGTCTATCAATATTATATTACACTAGAACCATAACATTTTTCCCCTGATCCCCCCCAAAGACCCATGCATATCCCTTTATGCAAAAGACATTTAGTCCATCTCTAAGAGTTGCCCCAAGTCCTAACAGTTTCAGTATTGCTGAAAAGTCCAAGTCTCAAATCTCCTCTGAGATGTAAGGCAAGCTCTTAGCTGTAAGCCCTTGTACAAGTGAGAAGTAACACCTCCAACATTCAATGGAAAAAGATAAACATTTTTCTTCTTAAAGTTACAAACAGAGTGATACAAAAAAAATGGAACCAAAACAAGTCAAAATCCAGCAGGGCAAACATTAAGTCTTGTAGTTCCATGTGCATCATCTGAGACTGTCTGTGGCAAGTTGTGAGCTCAAAAGGGCTTGGGTACTTCTGGTGGTTGTAGCATCCCTGACTTCTCTCTTGGGCCGGCTTTGCTCCCTCCTTGCAGCTTTCCTTAGATGATCCATGTTCCTGGCTTTTCCAAATTTCTGGGGTTTCCACTACACCTTTGGCTTCACCCTCATAGCTTCATACACTAACCTCCCAGGGGCACATTGCCTAGCCTTCCGAAATTGGGGTGGAAGACTTCTTAATCCCTCCACTCATGTAATCTGTGTGTGCCTAAAACCAGCCCCATGTGGGTGACATCAAGGTCTGCTGCCAGCTGGAGCAGTAGTCAGGCTTTCCTCTCTCTTAGCTGCAGGGTTCAAGTGCCTGGATCACTGAGCACTCTGAATCCATTTCTGAGCAACAAATTTTCTGTGCTGCCACCTTTCTGGAACACAGTGTGGCACCTACCATCCTGGAACATGGTGCTCTGTGGCTTTCTCCTCAAAGCAATCTTTCACTTTTGCAGTTTTGAGGCTGTAAAGGGAGGAGATTTGCTACTTCTTGTGATGTCCTCAGAACATCTTTTATATTCTCTTATTCCTTTTCAGCAGTCAAGAGCTCCTCTGTCCTACTGTTGTAGTTCACAGCCTTACTGGAACTTCCTTTCTGAGCAAACACACAATATTTTAAATAATTCTTCTGGGATTTCTGCTGTTGATTCTCAACATAAATCTGGCTAAAAGCCCCCAACAATAGTCATGCTACAACCCCAACATTCAACTGTCTTGAAATTTCTTCTGCAAGATTAGTTAGTCCACTGCCCTTAATCTCAGTCTCAGGCAAAGTCTCTGAAAGTGAGCAAAATGCAGACAAACTTTCTGCCAAGCAATAACATACATGATCTGGAGCCCAGCAGCCAACGCAGTCCTTCTTCCCAGCAGAAACCTCTTGAGCCTATTCTTTACTGGTTTTCTGGTCTTCTGAGCTCTGACCAGAATCTGCCATACAGAACAACCTAAGGCATTCCAGCTCTACTTTTTCAGGTGACATCTCTGAACCTTTCCAATCTCTTCCCACAAGCCATTTCCAAAGGTTCTTGAGCCACATGGTCAGGTGTAGTCCCAGCAATGACCTCACTCCATAAAATTCTGTGTTACTTTTCTCTCATTGCTGAGACAAAATACCTGATGCAAAAAATTAAGAAAGGAAAGTTTTATTTAGCTCACAGTTTGTGGAGGCTTCAGTCCATAATCTGCTGGCCCCAAGGTAGAATGGCATGGCAGAGGGGCAACAGTTCATGGTAGTGTAAGACAGCAAAAGCAAGAGCAAAAAGGGGGAGAGCAAGACTCTTTTCCTCCATTATATTGTAATCAGGCTACTCACCCTAGGGTGGGTGTAGCACTCCTGCCATCTCTGTGCCCTCCTCTTGCACTGGATCAGGATGTTTATAAGGTAAAGACCCTGGCTCTCTGCTGAGTCACTTAGTTAAAATTCTAAACTTCTCAAAATGACACCATGAATCAACCATTACAACATCCTGAAGCATAAATAGTAACTGCAGGACATGGCCTGAAAATTCTAGTATGTAGAGCTGCTGAGTTACTTAATTAAACTTTTAAACTTCACAAGTTAACATAATGTATCAACCATTACAACTCTCAAGCTCTATTATTTTGCCAGTCCTGATGTGGAGGTTATCACCTCATGATAAAACTGTTGCTGGAGTTCTAGCCACCAAATGTATATGCAAGCAAGTAAAGAAAAAGCACTCACTGCTGTTTTAAGGACAAGTTTCAGAAGGTAGTCATGTAATTTTTGCTTCTCCTTTTGTGGTAGATGAACCCTAACGTAGTTCCCATGTATCCCTATTTCTTGCCTCCTCCATTTGAGCATGGCCAAGACAAGTAACGTATTTCTAACAAAGATGATGGGACATGATTTCCATGATAATGTTATGCAAGAATATTGCTTTGTCTCATGGTCATTCTCTAGTGACACTCTTCCTTACTGGCACTGAAGAAATAAGCTAACATATGCGAGGACAACTGACAAGAAACTGAAGGTGGCTTCTTGCCAACAGACAGCAAAGTCTTGGGGCCCTCAGGCTGGCCATCTATAGGGACCTGAATTCTGCCAACACTCATGTGATCTTGAAAGTAGATCCTTTCAGGCAAGCCACAGGTAAGACTCAACCTTGACTGTTACCTTGACTGGAGGTCTATATGTGATGTCAAAACAGAGAACTGAGTTAACTTGGGTCTGGACTCATGACCTACAGGACCCATGAGATAAATATATATTTCTGAGCTGTTATTGCTGCAGTAGTATTACACAGCAATAGACAACTAATACACATGCCATTCACCAAAATATATTCACTGAGCCTCACATAGGTGCAGAGCCTCACATTGTGATTCACCCAGACCAGCCTAAAACTCAGAAATTCCACTACCAGTGAGTAAGAGGAGAATGGACATGGGATGGTCTCTCTTGCAAACAGACTAAGTGAACAAATAACCAAGATAAAAGTGAGAAATATAACCAGAAGGGTAGGTGCAATCTAATATTTCAAGCCATGGTGCTCTTAGTAATGCATTGTTTCAAACACTTAAGAATTTAAAAATCCCTTTCTTATTACAAATATTTACTCAAAATGATCTATTGTGGTGACATTGCATATTAAAATAATCCTTTTAGGAAAACAGTTTATAACATGTATTAAGAGCCATGAAATGTTGCTATTCCTTGACTCAGAGATCTCACTTCTCTAGGCATATTCTAAAGAAACAATCCAATATATGGATGAAGTAACACTGTGCAATATACTGGTATTGAAGAAATACTCCTTACAGAAAAAAATTGAAATCACCTAAATATTTATTGATAGACCAACCAGTAAGTAAATAATAATCCATCTTAATGAAATTATCATGTAGTCATTAAAAATACTAAAGTGAAGAGTATTTTATAGCATAAAATACAATGTAAAAGTATAAAATAATGTAAGCAGAATTTAAAAACATTTTTAAAAAGAATAAATAGGCCAAGCATGGTGGCACATGCTTATAATCCCAGCACTCGGGAGGCTGAGGCAGTAGGATCGTTGTGAGTTCGAGACCAGCCTGGGCTCCAAAGTGAGCTCAAGGCCAGCCTGAACTGCACAGTGAGTCTCAAAAAGACAAAAAAAAAAAAAAAAAGAAAGAGAATAAATAGAATCAATTTTTTTCTCCAATCAATATTAGCATCAACCTTCCTTTTTCATCAACTAAGAGACTCTAATAGTATAAATGACTTACATTTTTTCCCTTTTCCTCACTGTACTTTCCCTTTTTACCTATCCTAGCTCCTTTTTACTTTTGAACAATTTCTTCCCATTTCACAATACCTATTAGACATTTTAGACCTTATTTACTCTTTCAAATTCTCATACCAGAAAAACAATACGATGTTTACTCATGTGAGTCTGATTTATTTCACTTATGAGTAGGCCTCAAGTTGCATCCACTTACCTATAAAAGTCTCAAGTTATCCTTCTTTATGGCTGAGTAGTACTCCACTGTATAAAAATATCACATCTTTATAATCCATTCCTTTGTTGATAGGAATTTAGGTTATGCCCATATCTTGTACCCTGAGCAACTACTTTAAAGATAACAGCATGCGATATATTTACTATCATTATTTTCCTATTATTTTGTCATGAAATTTTTTTTTGCTTTTTTTCCATAAAATAACAAAAAAGAAGATCCATGGCTTTCTGGAGGGTTGAAGTTGTCATTTCATCTCCTGGATGAAATAGAATTACAACAGAAGCGATTATTTTGCTTTATGGAGTTACTGATTCTTTTCCTCGGTTTTCAATATTTTTTAAAATTATTTGTGTAACTGGCAGTTAAAAATAACAAGCAGAAGTTTAAACAATAAGCACAGTTATTTACATCCGACTTCATCATTCATATGTACAAGAGTTGAGACTACTCTCTATCTATGTTTGCTAATTTAATCACCACAATAACCAATGGAGTCATTATCAATATCATCCCCATTTTACAATCAAGGACCTGGAGGTGCAAGAAATGTAAGTTCCTCATTGTGGTGCACAGCTAGGACATAACAAAGATGGGATTTAAATCCATATATCTGACTCTGGAAGCAATGTGTAAGCCCCTGGGTACAGAGCAAAGAAAAAGTGGAGAAAAGTACAGATAACAAGTAGTTTCATGAGACACAAGTGAGTGAAGCAGTTGCCTGGGAAATCACATTTGAGGGGAGAAATGAATGCAATTCATATTTGAAGGATGAATTCAAAGCCATATGTCCACAGCTTTCCAGATGTCACAGGGTTCTTAGAACATTCTTTGAGTGACTGGTTTTCTAACATCTTGGGAACTCACTTCTTTACGGTTAATTTCTCTATCCTTTGAAACAATGACCTTTATGCATAGGATCCTTTTGTGTTTGACGATCTATAGGAGGCAAAGTTATTGGCCTTGGAACCTCTGTCTCCTGGCACCATGAGGCCCACATGGTCTCCCTGACCCTCTCAACTGGCTGTAACAATCCACAGAATGGACACAAGCTCAGCAATGAAACATTAATGAGTGATAGTGATGTCAAATGTAAATTTTAAAAAGTGCTTTTAAAATTCCTCTTATGAGTCATAGCACAAGTGTGAAGAAGAAATTCTAATGAACAAGGGGGTGTTTGTGTCACCTATATTGTAAGTTTTTATATATGATAGTAAATTAAAATTTGTGATCTCCACGTGGTCTTTGCATGGTCTTCAACAATTTAGCTCTGATCTCAGTAGCCTTTTTGAAAACTTTCCCCTATCTGGGGTCAGTGTTTATAAAACAGAGAAGCTTCCTGTGCTTTTAATGAGATCTCCAAATCATATCTCTTGCATACTGCTAAGCTGTTGTGTTACTTTTATTTCATTTTGGAAGGAAAGTTAAAGGTTTATACCTCCACAGTTAATTAAGGGCTCCTACACTCTCCTGTGTGTCATGTGAACTTGCATCTGAGTGAGAGTAGGATGTGAGTGTACACATGTTAATTGTAATTTCCTCTAGCATTTCCCTCTAGTTTCAACAACAGCATGTTAATTCAGTCAGATTCAGACTTGTGAAGACTTGAAAACATCCTCTGCAGAAGGCCTTCCTTGTTCTTGGACTAGACATTGCAACATCATTAATATATGACTTCTGAGTTCATTTATAGGTATAATGTAATCACAATAAGAATATAAAGAAGCTTTCTTCCTGGAGGCAGGCAAGCAGTGTTGAAGTTCATATAAAACGATAAATATGCAAGAATAACTAGGAAAACACTGAAAAGGATGTGCTAAGTATAATCAGACTCACCGAGTGATAAAACATACTATAAAACCTCTATAATTAAAGCAGGGTGGTATTGGCATATAAATAGATCAGTGCAATAGGATAAAAAGTCTAGAAAGTAACTTCATATGACAGTCTAAAATACAACAAAAGGTTCTTTCCAAATTACTAAAGCAAAGATGGATTCTTAAACAAATGATATTGCTACCACTGGACAGCCATTCGTAAAAGAATGAAATTACATTCCTTATTCATGTGCATATGCGTGCACACACTGATCAAAGATCTAAGTGTGGGAAATGAGGGCCAGGGCTATAGCTCAGTGGTACAGCTCACAGCACCTGCTTGGAAAGCGCAAGGTCCTGAGTTTGATTCCCGGTACCAAATGAATAAATACATACATACATACATGCATACATACATACATAAATGTAAGAAATGAAACAAAACCAAGTATGAGAAAAAAGCAATAATTTATTTCTGTAGAATATGGACTTAGGGGAAGGCTTTCAAATTATGCTCAAGGGGCTGGGGATTTAGCTCAGCGGCAAAGCGCCTGCCTGGCAAGTGCAAAGTCGTGAGTTCGGTTCCTGGTTCCAGAGAAAAACCAAAAAAAAAAAAAAAAAAAAAATTATGCTCAACATCCCAGATGTAAAGAGAGTGATAAATTTCACTACATTAGTTTTTTGATTGCCAAAAACACAAAAGCAGCAAAGTCAGAAGACAAATTATACACAGTACATATTTGCAACATATATAACAGATAGAGTTAGTATCTATAAATTTTCAAAAATTTAAGAGTAAAAAGAAAAAATCAGTTGAAAACATAAAAAGATATAGCAAATAATTCATACAACAAAGATATCTCTTGAATATATGACAATATATTCAAATTTCCTTATTGTAAGATAAGCAAAAGTCAGAACCATACTGATATACCATTTCTCACCTACCAAATAGACAAAAATTCAAAGTTTATCAAATATCTTCCTTTGGCAAAGCTATGGCATGAGAGGTTCATTCTTTCATATGGTGCTGGTGGAAACACAAAGTGGAAAATCGAAACAGGAGAATTAGGCAATATATAACAAAACTATGTATACATTTACCTTTCAAACAATCTAGCAGCCTCACATCCACCAACTTACTCAAAATATACTACTAAAACGATGCAAAAATAGAGAAATACAAAATTATTCATTATCTATATTTGCAAATTATTCGCAAATACTTAAATGCCCAAGTATAGAGAACTGGTCAAATTCTATGGTAAATACACATAATGGGGTATCATGTCACTAAGAGAAAAAATAAAGGAAGCGCTTCATAAACTGATAGAGAATGTTTTCCAATATATTTTGTTAATTTAAAAAATCAAAATGCAAATGAATGTATATAGTACATTACCTTTTTGTGTGCACAGGAAAAATAAGAAAACACACATTAATCTGGTTAGTTTTGCAAATGTGCACATGCACACACAAACCAGTACATACAAATTCACATATAAATAAACCATGAAACAAGGAAATTGTTATCTACTAGGGATGAGAGAAATGGGGTAGCAAGCCAAAGGAAGGAGCGAAATGTTCATAAGTAAATCTTTTTTATGTAGGTCTGGCTTTTGAAAGCATGTCAACAAATTAAAAATGAAAAAAAGCATGAGGAAAAAATCCTAAAGTAGGAACAAATGATACCAAGATATTACAAATGCAAAGCCACACTAAAGTATAAAATTGAAAATACTGAAGGAATTTTTTAACAAAACGCTTTGATTATAAACCCTGGGTAAAGGAGGGAGAAACAGATTTTAAAAACATGTCTGAATTTCCTAGAGGTTTGTATTTTTTCATATAGCAATATAGGAATAGAAATTTATTATTTTTTTTTTTTTTTGGTACTAGTAATCAAACTCATGACCTCACACTTACCAGGCAGGATCTATGCTACTGAGCTATATCCCCAGCACAAGAATAGAAATTCTTACACTATTATATGTGTATTGTAGGACACAAAGGAGTAAATGTGATGATGTCACTGGGAGCCAGAATTCTCATATGGAAGAGATGTGGAAATGGAGAATGGACGGAGGGTAAGGAGGACCCTATGGGAGTCGACTGAATTGGACTTGGAGATATCAGTACAAACTCAATATTTTAAATATGTTAAAATTTTGTGCATTTCCTAGCATTGTCTAGTAAAAGGCCTATAAGCAATCTGAATATTTAAACACTAAGACTGCTGTGAAAGGGTTCTCACTAGCTGAATCTGGGACAATTTGAACATTAGAATAAACACCTATTGACTCATGGACATTTAAATAGATGACTCATGACTGTGAGTTCATACCTCCATAGAAAGAGACAGACAGATGAGAAAGAAGAGATCATTCATACAGCTCAGTCATCTGGGACAATTTGAGCATCCAAATAAATAACAACTGTACCAGACGACAATCCACTGATTAAAACAGGTACCATGAATCTTCTATAACAATAACAGATAACCAAATAGAGTAGACCAGTAGAAAGGGGAAAGAGAGATATAGAATTCATACAGTGTATCTATTAAAAATAGTGATTTTTAAACTGTGTCACTCTCTGCCAACTGATAAATGTGCAATGATGAAATTAAATGTTTTTTTATGCTTCATAATAAAGTTTGTTTCAGTTAAGAATCAATAGCTGTTAAATGTGAAAGAAAGAAGGGGAATTTTGATAAGAAACAGGATTATTTACAAGGTCTGAATATGTCTGCTCACAGAATGCATATTAGTGACATAGGAGAAAGTACTAATTATGCAGTGGAGAATCTGGGTAACAACTGGATGATCAAAATTAATGTCAGTAACAATGGGCAGATGGGCTCCATGTGCCACAAGATACAATACCCTGAGAAACACACACCATCAGTTTTGTGGTATTTCGGCATCAATTCATAGCCTGAAACGTCAGACAAACCCAAACTGAAAAGTACTCCGCTAACTGTTCTGTTTTCTCTAATGCGCCAACGGTGTGAAACATAAATAAAGGCTGAGAATCAATTCCAGATTAAAGATAAATAAAGATACATAATAATTTAATATTATTCATCTATCTCCTGACATTGGAGGGAAAAATCATATAAATCTCATTATTGAAATCACAGCCAAAGCAATAAAGAGAAGCTCATTAGTGAAATAATTGACAAAATGGGAATATATATTTGATAGAGTGTTACATCTGTTAAATTACATATATAGCATATATATATTTATATATGACTGAGCTATGGTTTAAAAGACTATCTTTGTTCTCAGGAAGTACATATTGAAGTATCAAGCACAGTTACCTACTCTAAAATAATGTATGTGTGCTCTTTGGAGAAGTGTGTACACAGAGAGAAGGAGCAAATGGTAACACCAAAACAACTGGTGAATTTGCGTAAATGGTGTATGGGGATTCTCTGAATTATTCTCTGAATATATTCTTACATATATGTGATTCTAAACAGAATGAGGGTTTCCTCCTCATTCTTGTCCTTTTCTTTCACATTGGACAAGTCCCTTAAGTGAAAAACAGTATTTTATATTCCTAGTCTCTTCTTCACCTTTGCCTGGATAGATCTCGTCCTTTCCTGATGCCTTTACTTGTTATTTTATCTTATGGTTTTATTTTGAGGTGGTAAAAAAATGAGTATTTTTTTCTTCCCAGTTGATAAGTGAAAAACAAAATCAAACAAATAAATAAATAAAAACCCAGAAATGCTAGGATAAGAACATCTTTGCCAGAAATTAGGTAAGGGAAGAGGCTGGTGTGGGTGTGCAAATCTGCACCAGGCTGGGAAGAGCAGACTCCATGATGGCTCCCAGGAGGGTGTGGGCCCTAGGAGGCATGGGGCTCAGGATCTTTATGAGCAGCCCTGCGGCTGGGCTGTGTTTCCTACCTCTTGGTCTGAACCCAGGAGCACCAGGGATCCCATCAAATAGGCCGAGACGGTAATCAGCCTTCTGGCTATCATTTTCACCCAGAGAACATTCTTCCTTTTGCCTAAACAAAAATCACAGAATGATAATTATAATGACTTTTTCCATTCTTCCTAGGCTCATTTGCATTTAGTTAAAAATGCGCTTCCCTAATGATTCGTTTACCAGCCTACTCCTGTATTTAATCATGCCTTGCCACCCGCCCCCAAACTATTTGAAATTAATTGTCATCCAACAAGGCTCAGACCTCTCATACTCCCATCTTATTGCATGGCACACCATTGCCTTAAGTTATAGCAATAATTAAACTGTGCTTTAATTAAGTAAGCCCTCCTCTTGTAACAGTCCCACTCTGGCAATTTCCTTCAAGTAATTTCCTTCATTTGGAAATTATTATTCACATCTACTGGGGTTAGAGGGATATCTCCAAGACTGGATTTCATGTTGTCTTCAGAGGTTGATTAACTACTTTGGCAACATTTTTAATTTCAACAACACTACAAAATCTACATTCTTATTTTCTCCCTCCCAAATTTCCCCTTCTGGGAAAATAGGAAAGCAAACCATTTTACCATTCTCCAACTCAAATGCAGTCAGCATATAAATCTCCAGACCCAGGGAAAAAATGGATATTTATAGCTCTTGCTATTATTCACATCAGAGAACATGACAGACTGGAGAATACAAGTTCTGAGTGTTTTACATGACCCACAATATTGTCAAATTCCTTAGATCCCTATTAAGTCACAGAAAATACAAGGAGTTCAGTGTAATTCTGCTCCTTGTAAGCCTTGCAAACAGAAAGTGGGTTATACCTCTGTGTTCTGAACTGATGTGGCTCTCTTGATCGGAGCTTCAGGCCTCTGAAGGGTGATATGGCTTTATCGTAAATATGTGAAGTACCCTCCAAAGACTCAGGTATTGAGGGATCAATCCCAAATGCAGGAACATTCAGAGTGAGGCTAGCAATGTGAGTAGATCACAAGAATGCTAACCTCATCAATTGATGGGTTCATAGCTAAAAGGGCTGTTATGACGTGGGACCCAGTTGGAGGAAGTAGGTCAATGGGGTGTGTATTTGAAGGTTTTATGTGCCCCCTGCCCCTTTCCTTTCTCTCTCTGCTCTTCTCTCATTGTTTCCTGGCTGCCATGAGGTAAGCAGCTTTCCTCTGCCACACATAGCAATGGAGAGCCGATGTAACATCTGTGGCTGAGCCCAGACTTCAGGCCAGTCACTGCCTCAAAACTGGGAACCAGGTTAGGCATTTCTACTTCATCTTCCAGAGATCCAACCCTATAACTACAGGGCTCAGAGTGCCAACCATTTTGTTCTATCTGAGACTGAGGGAATCCAAGTTCAGAAGAGTTTCAGTGTTAGACAAAGAATAGTGTCAGGAAAACCAGGGCACTTAATTTCCCTGAGACCAGATTCCTAAGGAAAGGGGTCCTTTTCTAATGGACTGTGGCCAAACAAGTCTAGTAGCTTAGGCTAGGGTGGAAAAGCCATCAGCAGTGAGTTCTATTAAATGATTAGGGTCTTCTAGTCCCATAGTTGGTATTCAAACACACAAAGTTCCTTTCTCTCCATTGGGAAATGGGTTCTTCTAATGTGGACAGTAGCCTTCCTGCTCTCAGTTTCCTGCCCATTCTGACTGCAGAGTTGATAATCACTGGGTACAATTACAACTCCCAGTGCCCCAGAGAAGGATTGAAAAGACTGACAAGGTGAAGAGTATGTAGGTTTGAGAATAATACATTGTAGGGAATATAGCCCTCAAAACCCATGGGAACTCAGGGCTTTCTAAAATGCAGATTTAGAATCCAAGATCAGTGTTTAGGACCTGTGAATCTCAAACTTGATTTTGAAGAGTTCCCTGGGCTGTTTGTTATAGAATGGGACAGCTAGCACTTAGTGAGACTTCTGCATGCTTGCACTATTCTAGACACTTTAATAGATTTAATCCTATCTACCAGGAAGGTATTACAGTGATTGTTATTACACACATGACAGATGAGACAGAGGAAATGAAGTCATTTCCCCCAACATCACACAAATATAAATGAAGGGAGCAAGTACTTTCCACAGTGTGTGCTCTTAATCATTGTACTATACTCCTTCTTACGGACTACACTTGTTTTGGTGAAATATAAATTTCCAGTCCCATATTTAGTAAATTTAAAGCAAAATCAAGGGACATGAATTTTTATTAATAGCCTAAATGATTCTGATGTTTAGTGAGCATCTCAGGGGCCAGCGGACTCCTCAACCTGACAAGCACATACAGGAAAGCCTGGGGGTAAGCAGGGTCACAGCAAGTAGTAAGCCTGTACTCCACGACAATTCCTTTGCCAAGGAATTGTTCTGCCCCCATCCAGACTGAGTCCTAAGTGAGGAGGGACTGCAGTACTAGGGCTGGCAGAGGCAAGGCCAACGAATTTGCTTAGTGAGAAAAATTGCAAGATGCCACAGCCTACGTGGCTCTTGAAGTTCAGGAAGGGGGGGGAGAGTATAGAGAAATAAAGATAAGAGACAGAAAGCTGAGGTCAGGTGGAGCCCTCTCTCCAAATGGGAGCAAGGGAATTACTCAACCACCGTAGCATATTTATTTATGCATTTAGTAGGTTGGTGTCATGTGACATGCTTTTCGCCTAGCAACACATTGCTTGGATTTTCTCTGCACTTGATGTTTTCTGGACCAAAGCAGCTTATTCACATGCTTGCCTCCAGAGCTCTTTGTTCTCTAGGCAGGTTTGCCTTGCCCCTCATGTGTGATCAATCTCCAGCTTCAGTCACTCCCTACAGCAAGACATGAGCACCAAGGTGCACAGTCAGACATGAATACCTAACCTTCCTGGAGTGGCCCAAGACTCTGATTTTTAACCCTGGGAAATGGTGCAATTCTCAAGCTAAAATGTGTGAAAGCACCTGTGAACTGGCTGAAATGCACACACACTCACTCACACACACACACGCACACACACACACACACACACACACATACACACACGAAGTTGAGCTGTCTAGCATGATTTTCAACCTAAAAGAACCAGTTCCAAGGTCACCTAGTTAGGCCAGATATGCAGTCTGAGCAGTTTTGTTTGGAAAAGAATGTGAACAATGTAGATGGTTCTTTCTGTCTCCCTGAGAAGACCAGAGGAAGAGATTCTCTGCCTCTCTCTTTAAACAGGAAATTCTCATTCCCTGGTTCTTCCCCAACTTTAGGAATTGTATTTCACAAGTAGACTTACTAGGATTGTTGTGTTCTGAACCCTGATCCATGGTCTCCTAGGGTCTTGTGGTGATGAGGTGTGTGTGTGTGTGTGTGTGTGTGTGTGTGTGTAAGGGGGGAAGACAGAAAAAGAGATGGGGTAAGGAGAAACAGAAGGAGAGAGAGAGACATACAGAGAGAAACATAATAGTTTGTGCAAAAGCTCCTTTGCTACTGGTATTGATGTAAGTATAGTTCAATCCCATTTTGTTTCCCAGAAGTAATTATAGTACACATTTCAGCTTCTATTTTTTTTTTTTTTCTTTTTCTTTTTTTCCAGTACTGGGAATCGAACTCACGATCTTGCGCTTGCCTGGCAGGCGCTGTGCCGCCGAGCTAAATCCCCAGCCCCTCAGCTTCTCTTTAATGTAATGTGTTCTGGGAGCTGAATTTCTCCAGCTAAGAACAGCAGAGCCTGACATCTTTCCTCAACCTACTGGTAAGCTACAACCTTGGAGAATTGATGAAATAACAAACACTTTTGTTTCTTTCTCCTATCTTGTCCGCGCAGAATTTTTTAGATTGTACTGCTACACCAGCCAGACTACTATTCCTAATCAAAAATTCCCCAGATTCTTTGGGCCGAGTGTTCATCTGCCTGTGTGTGGAGAGTAAGATAATGAAGGACAATTAATGTTTTATCCATGTCCTTGTCACAACGGCTCAGCAGCTAGCTTTCCCTGCTGGGCTCCCCTACACCCGTTTTCTCTGTGACTTGTGAGAGAAAAAAGAAAAGGAAGAACAATTAGGAGCATCATTTTAAGGTATGTGCACCTAGAAAAACCCTTTTAAGTGATACTCGGTAGGGTTGAATCCCCACAATTCCTTGTGCCCCTGGCTGGTCTGGCCCAGATTTCTCATTTCAATGATATCTATTCTTCAGCTTGGCAATTGTATTCTGGTCTCTTCTCAAATGGCAATACCTAGGGAATAAAACATTTCCTTTCTTTATTTTCTGTCTTTATTTTAAAAGCAATTCCCCTAGTCTTTTTATTCAACCACAGAAAAGATTTTTTGTTCTCATCAATGGCTCTACTTGACTAAGACCAGAAGTACGGACAGATCTTACAGCTGGAGGCCTGGGAACATTTTATCCATTATAGGTGAGCCTCTGTAGTGAAACACTCTACAGAAGCCTGGACTTTCAAACAGATTACAATGGCACTTAAAGGGATTTCTCACAGAAAAGAATTTCTCTCCATATTGACTCCTGCAGGTAGTTGCTTAGAGATCATTCACAATAATTCAAAGATTGGTGGAAAAGTCACTAAAGAAGAAAAAATTAATTTGGAGAGAAATATTTAATTAAACCTGTCAGCAAAAACCAAAAACTTAAATCTCTCAGAAATGTAAATGAACTTTTTGACTATAATGAAAGCCTATGTTATCATAGCAATGTCACACGCAGAAATTTAAATCTTTTATTTTTTTTTCAAAACTGAATTCTGATAAAATTAATAAATTCTGACTGGATAAAGAAATTGGAGGCTTATCAGTAATGAAAAGAAACATACTAATGTAATCATCTCATTATTTCTTTGTAATGAAGATGTAAGTGAAAATTAGCACTTTATCACATGGACGGGGGTGGGGAGAGGAAGAATATTTTTTCTGCTTGGAGAAAGCAGCCAGAAAAAACATCATGCAATAGCCCCCTTAATTTTTTTCTCTTAATTTAATACAGTAGATGAAGGATGGTACCTTAATATTCCAATTTTTATTTCTCTACCTTTGAAAAACTATCTTACTTTTAAGTATTATTAGTACATGTTTATTCTACATAAGAATTACATTC